ACCTCTAATTTTTTGGAAAAACGCAAAAACACGTCAATTAATACCTGAAGGGGGAGACATAATATCATATTAAAGGTTGCTGGAAAATGCACCCTCTTACCACCTGTATCAACCCTTTATTTTTTTAAATTACTTCCCTCTTTTTCGTATTATAATTGGATTCTCCTTTTTGTTCTGATTTCAAAAATATATAATACCTTTGGCTTGAAGTGACTATTTTATCAGATAGACAATTTTCCTGTTAACAAGACAGTATCTCCCTCACCTTAATTGACTTTGACAAAATAGGTTGTAGCATAATTTAAACTCTTTAAATATTTAACCGTACTATTTGTAGTACCTTTAAAAACCAAGAAACAAAAAAATTCACTTTTTATTTAAGTTTTATCAAAGGTTTTCGATATCATTTTTACATTTGTTTTAATCGGTTAATAGCGACAATTTGTTATAACTTGTAAGTAACAGCTTATTTTAATACGTGTGCAATTTGATCGCTGAAATGGTGTACACTTTGCAAGAAAGAATCGAAATTGTAGGTTTATACTACAAAAATAATAATTATTGTGCAAGAGCTGCTGCTAGAATTTTTAATGAAACACACCACAATAGATATGCAACTCATAAGTGTGTGATTGAACTGATGCAGAAAAAATTAGATCAAGAGGGTCAGTTTGCAATAAAAAACATAACCGACAGGAACTTGTAAATTAAAAAGCAATCCAAGTAGCTATTTTAGGGCAAGTTAACTTAGACTCGAAACAATCAGTCAACAATAAGCAGAGCAATCGGTGTTTCATCTTATACAGCCTTCCGAGTCCTCCATAAATTTAAGTTTTATCCATATAAAATTAAATTAGTACAAGAGTTAAATGAAGAAGATTTTGATCGTCGTCCCGAATGTTGCGAATTAATGATAAAATGCATCATTAACAATCCACAATTGTTAAACAATATTTGCTTCTCGGATGAATGCTCATTCTCATTAAACGGTTTGGTGAACAGATATAATTGCCGATACTGGGCTGAGAGTGACCCACATATTGTACGCGAATTTCACACACAGCATCCTCAAAGGTTAAACGTATGGTGTGGTATCCTATGTAATCACATTATTGGACCCTTCTTTATCACTGGCAACTTAAATGGTGCATCGTATCTTGAATTATACAGGCAAGTGGTTGATCGTTAGAACAATAGTAGCAAATGATGATAACCTTTCCGATGATTTGGTTGTATTTCAACATGATGGAGCTTCTCCACACTTTGCTTTACCTGTGCGATATTTTTAAAACGAAACTTTTCCCGGTCCTTGGATAGGTAAAAGACGACAGATGATCGATTGGCCACCTAGGTCACCGGATTGAACACCCCTAGACTTCTTCTTATGGAAGTATTTAAAAACAAAAATTATGCTACTCAACCAGAATATCTAGATGATTTACAACAAAGAATAGAGGATGAATGTCGACAATTAAATGCAGACGTGTTAAGCAATGTCAGAGAAGAATTTTAAAATAGATTGTACTATTGTATGGAAGTGAAAGGCAGTCATTTTGAACAATTATTGTAAAAATTGTTAGTAGTGAAATGTTTGTTCTAAATTTGTGTAATAAAATTGTTAAAAAATAAGTTTTTTTTAATCCAATTTTCTTGCTTTTGTATTTACTTTTCCCATATACTAATCACTTCAAGTATCATGTATTACACATTTCTGAAATCAGTACAAAAAGGAGAATCCAAATATAAAATAAAAAAGGAGGAAGTAATTTAAAAAAAAATAAAGGCTTGATACAGGGGGTGAGAGGGTGAATTTTCCAGCAACCTTAAATATGATATTATGCCTCCCCCTTCAGATATTAATTAAAGTGTTTTTGCGTTTTTCCAAAAAATTAGAGGTTCAAAAGTTATTTAAGGTGGATAGTTTTATCTGAAAAGCACTGTATGTTTAATAGTGTATGAAACTTTTGTTTAATGACGGTTGATGATATCTCTGATTTTCTTAGGTTTGTTAGACTGATGTCGATAGCAGGAAAAAATATTGTCCATGGTGCAGTGTTTTGGATTGAAGAGATATCATAGGTTTTTTGGAAATTGAAAATTTAATTTGGATAAGGTTGATTGTATAGGAAAGTAAAAAGGATGATCAATTTGATGCGTTTGTTGAAATTTATTTGTAAATCGATCAGCAAAAACGTTATGCAGTACTGGATTATTTCGGTTTGATAACACTGCCGCTGCATATGTTAGGCTTAGATATTGTCTTCTGAAAAAAAGAGGAAGTTCTCCACTTTCCCAATAGAGACTTTGAATGGGACTTGTGTAGAGAGCACCTAAAGGAATACGTAGACATCTATTTTTACTAATATCCAGTGACTTCAAATGTGTTTTTTGGAGGAGTTGTAGACAATGGCTCCATAGTCAAGTTTTCATCAAATTATGGATTTGTAAATAAGTATTAAACTTGAATAATCGGCATCTCAGTTTTTAAAGGCAAGTGATCGTAGTAAATTTATACCAGGTAGAGAGGATTTTTTCAGCTATTGAATATGTGTCTTTCAAGTAAATTTTTTATCAAACGTCATACCCAAGAATGGGATTTCTTCTACATAATCTAGTTTTTGTTCGTGTAGATATAATTCTTTTGTTTGGATTTGATTTCTCTTTGAGAAACATGTTGCTTTCGTTTTTGATGTTTTAAACTGAAGCCCACTTGTAGCTGATTATTTCTCAATGTGTGTTAACGCATTTTAAATTTGATTGTAAATCGTTGCTATTGTTTTTTCCTGTACAGAAAATAACTAGGTCGTCAGCGTATAATGTAGCTTTGACGGGGTTTTCAATTTGTGTTAATATTATACCATTTTGTTGAATTGGTGTTTGAGAATATTTTCCGTCAACTCGAACTTGAAATCAAGAAAATTTGAAATGGATTTTAATATGTTACCCCTTATTAGCCAATTGCTGTGTATTTTAATATAGCCTTAATGAGTCATGTCTTGAAATTGTTGTTAAAAGTAATTCACAATAGAATACATAAGAAATTAGATGAAGACATAAGTAATACACAAATGGGATTTAGGAAAAGACTGGGAACACGAGATGCGCTGTTTGCAATAAGTGTTCTTTCGCAGAGATGCTTAGATATTAATCAGGAAGTATATGCCTGTTTCATTGATTTTGAGAAGGCATTTGACAGAGTGCAACATAAGCGACTTAAAGAAATTTTATTAAATAAAAACATAGACAGTAGAGACATTAGAATCATCTGTAACCTCTATTGGAATCAAACAGCAAAAGTGAAAGTTGAAAACGAACTGACCAAGGATATCCAGATCCGCCGTGGAGTCCGCCAAGGGTATATTTTATCACCCTTGCTATTCAATTTATACAGTGAAGCCATCTCAGAATTAGCGCTTGCCGAGATCAGTGAGGGCCTTATAATAAACGGTGAGCCACTTAATAACATAAGATATGCTGACGACACCGTCCTTTTGTTAGGAACACTAGAAGAACTGCAACACCTTGCTGAACAACTAAATATATATTGCAACGATTATGGACTGAAAATCAATTTGAAGAAAACCAAGTTCATGGTATTTACAAAAGCACAAAACATCAAAGTTAAGCTAGTACTAGATAATACAGAAATTGAACAAATATCTTCGTACAAATACCTTGGAGCATGGATCACAGAAGATACTGATCAGACAAAAGAAATAAGATGCCGCATTGAAATTGCGCGGTCAACTTTTAATAGAATGAGAAAACTTTTTTGTAATCGCGATATCAATATATTGCTCCGGATAAGAATGCTTCGATGTTATATTTTCTCTACCCTTTAGTATGGAGTTGAAGCTTGGACACTTAAAAAATCCAACATTAAAAACCTAGAAGCATTCGAAATGTGGTGTTACCGACGCATTTTGAAAATATCATGGATGGATCGCAAAACAAACGAATAAGTTCTCGAACAACTAGGAAAACAATGCGAAGTTTTAAATTTCATAAAGATCAGGAAATTGGAATATTTGGGGCACATCATGAGAGGTGAAAAGTACGAACTACTAAGGAATATAATGCAGGGTAAAATCAAAGGTAGAAGAAGCGTAGGAAGACGTAAAATCTCGTGGCTACGCAATCTCCGTGAGTGGTTTGGATGCAGTTCAATTGAACTATTCAGGCGAGTAACCAATAAAATTATAATTGCCAGAATGATTTCCAATCTCCGATAGGAGTGGAACTTGAAGAAGAAGAAGTGTATTTTAATGATTGAATATTTCCAAACTGTATCATATACTTTGTTTATATCAAAAAATATTCCAACACAATGCTTTTTTATTGCAAATGCTTCGTGGATAAGAATTAACATTGAAAAATATCGATTCCTTATCTTATCTTTATCTATTTAATGATGAACAAAGAAAGATCCTTCTGTTTCAACACGTGTTGCAACAATAAACAATTCTCTCAAAAATTACAATAGAAAACTTTCTGTAAAATATTTCCATACCTTTGTATACCTACTTATGGGTGAGTTAAACACCTGCAGATATTTCGTGGAAATAACAAAAATTTCAATTTCGCATTTATCGTATTTATATTCAAAATTCGCATCTATTTCGTAAAAACGAAAATTCCGTACCCCTAGTTTTAAGGATTTATTAAACAGAAATCAAAAATAAATAAAATGAACAAAAAATTAAAATCAGTATTTTTATCATTTAAGTCATTTTTTTAACCAGTTGTTGGTATTAATAAACTGCTCAATGGATTCGACCGTTAGTTGATAGGTAAAAGTTTATTTTATATAACAATAAAACACTGAAAACTTTTATTTTATACACTTAACTATAAATTATTCAGTATCTAAATTTAACTCTTATATAAAGTACGTATTTTTTATTAAAAAAAGTATCTTAACTTTTTTAATAATCTGGGGTAACGTAAAAAATAATTGTTTTTATATTTTAGTAAACCTATTGTTCATCACCTCAGGATGTATGTTAGTATGGACTTCACCAGTTCTTCCCAAACTGCAATCCAACGATACTTCAATCAACCCTCTGGAAGAACCGATTAGTTTGCTTCAAATTTCAATAATGACATCGATTCATCCTTTAGGATCTGCACTGGGAACGGTACTAATGGGAAAAATTCCAGATTTGATAGGACGTAAACGATCAATACAATACTTGTCTTTAATTTTAATTCCAGCGTTTTTTGGTCTCTTCTTTGCAAATAAAGTATACTTATTTTACATTTTCCTAACGATAATATCAACTGTATTATCGGCTGGGGCTGTCGTAGTACCAATATATACAGCAGAAATTGCCAAAGATCATAATAGAGGAACTCTAGGATACTTTCTGTCCGTATCGTCAGTGGCAGGACAACTTTATGCATATACTATAGGATCAGTTACGAATGTAAACGTATTTTTCTCGATGTGTGGATTACCTATAATACTTCTTTTTATATTTACATATTTTATACCTGAATCACCAGTATATTTATTGTTAAAAGGCAATAAAGATGAAGCAATTAAAGCACTAAAGAAATTAGGAAAGTTTGTAGATGTTGACAGCTTAGAATCAGATCTTTCTGAAAAACATGAAATGATCAAACAAAGCAATGATAGGTCTGTTGTTGAAATTAAAACTATTATTAAGAAAAAATCTGTAAAAAGGGCTTTAATGCTCTCCATTGCTGTAGTTAGTATTCAGAATTTAGCGGGAGTGCATGTAGTATTGTCATTTTTAGGAGCCTTACTAAATGACGTTAGTAGCAGCTTATCGGGTAATAATTTAGCAATAATAGTAATATCATTCAAATTTTGTTCAAATTTTGTAGGCTTATATATTATAGATAAAATAGCAAGGAAATTTTTACTGCTCTTGGCTATTCTTTTTTGTGGAATTTCTATGTTTCTGCTCGGTATTTTTTTCTACTTTAAAGAAAACGAGTACATTTTATCCCAACCTATCAAACTCTTACCCGTACTATTAATTATAATTTTTGTTATCATGTATACGTTGGGTCTTACTTCTCTACCTTTTATACTAAGAACAGAATTACTTCCCGACGAGATACGATCTGTTGGATCTAGTATTGCTCAACTGATTGGTAGCTCATTAATGTTGGCAACAGCCTTTACCTATCCGATTGTAGCCAAGTATCTAGGTGTACACTATTGTATGTTTACATTCAGCTTCTTCTGCTTTAGCAGTTTTATATTATTATATTTACACTTACCAGAAACGAAGGGGAAAAGTTTCCTAGAAATAGAGAATATCCTTAGTACATAGTAATAAGTATGCTATTTGGTCCATCACTTTGTTAGAAGTTGCGGTTCAGTGCCATAGAACTGAAATAAAGTTCATACCTGCTGATTGGTTGCTTTAAAAATCACATCAATATGTTTTCATATTGACAGTTTTTTTATTTGTTTATTTACTTTATTTATTCATGAAAAATTTTATTTTTACATACTACTTATTATCAGATGAGTACTTTTGGACAATTAAAGAATATCGTGTTGTGGTAATATAAGGAGTTTATACAATACAGAGCGGTCTGCTTTTTACTGTATTTTTTAGTTCCTATAATTATTTTCATGTTTTTTTTTACTTATTTTTGTATATACTTTTATATTTTTTTTGTTATTGTTAAAATTTACAAATTTTTTTATAAGATTGTTTATCATTTCCTGAAACGTTAAATATTAGCCCAGGCTGTGGGGGAAAAATGGGTGATTTTATACTGTAATCCAGGAATTTATATAATGTGGCCCAAGTTATATAGAGCAACCTCAGGAGCAATCCCCCAGTTAATTTAACAAACAATTTTTGAATATTGTTTATTTATGAGCGTTTATAGCTGCAAATTACGTATTTTTTGAGTTTTTTCATTTTTTTGCTTAAAGTGCTCTAAAATACCTTCATCTTGAGCCGGTATACTTTCAATTTAACTTATTTGTTATTGCAAAAATTACGAATGAAGGTTAAACAATTTTGGCATAAATATTACGTTTTTTTAATTTCAAATATATAACGTTCAAGCCTATAAAATTACGAATCGAATGAGGCGTAGTAGGCCTAGACCGCCTTATTTGTCGCTGAGATACATTAATTAGTTTATCTTAGGACCTTCAACTTTGAATGCTCATAGGATTGCCAAAAAAAGTAGTAAAATGCTAGTTCTTATTTAATTCTCTTCCTAAAGCCGTAAGTTTTCATATTCCACTGGAAAATAATCAAAAATTTTTTTCCCGTTAAAAACAATTATGTAAAATTGCAGCAATGAACATTTAGAGCTACAGCGCCCCCATGTACCCTACAAATTTCTAATTTGCAGATTTTTGTAGCTGGCTGCGAGACAAAGATTTAAAAAAAAGAGTGTTCTACGACCAATAGGAAGCCTAGTTAGCATATTTTTTTTAGAAATCACAGAGGTTTTATTAATATCAATTAAGAAACGAATTTAGCGTCGTACGCCACTTAAAAACCTATATTTTTAAGTATTTGTATTCTCCTTAAATTAAAATCATTATTTATTGTAAAAAATGATGAATAAAGTTTACCTTTTTTCAAGCGATGGCACAGAGTAGTGGTGCGGAAACATTACTATTTAACTGATACAAACAGTAAATTAAACAAATTTTGTTTTTTGTTACATAGTGAAAAATTCTTCTAATAATTTCATTTTATCTGACTCATTTATATTGACAATTCAGACATACATTATGCATTTTAAAGTAGACGACTTTAAAATGATATTGCCAATATTGTTGAGTTGCGCTCCTGGGACGACTTTACTTATAAGATAGTTCATTCGATTACATGAAATCAACTTTAACTTGAGAATATCCGTCAGAAAAAAATCATAGCATGTAATTCGTCTTTAAAAAACGTAAACACATGACATGATGACAGTAAAATTCTCCTGTTAGTAATTCCATAGTAAATTATGAGGGAAAAAACCAGGAAAAAAACCTCATAATACTATCGCGACATGGTAAGTATTTGTTCGTGCATTTAGTTTACCTTCAATAAACACCAAAATTCTGATTTTATATGTTTCGCTATTTAAAAAACATAAATGATGCATCCTCTGTATGTTACTGACTTACTAATACTGGTATTTTCTTATTAATAACTTCCTCTTTCAATATTGGTAACCGTATCCTACTACATTCTGCCGAGGAATTTGCGACACAATTGGTCTCATTTAGCATAATTAAAAGCGCTTCTTTGATTTTTCTTTTTTTACCATCCGTTTCTTTTAGGACTACATTTGAATTATTCCATTGAACCCTATGTTCATTATCCCATGCGTGTTTACATATTTGAGATCTATCAAATTCTCTATTTTTAATATAAGATTGATGTTCACTTATTCTAACATTTAATGGCCTTGATGTTTCACCTAAATAAAACTGATCGCATTCACAAGGTATTTTATAAATGCAATTCTTTGTTCTTTCTTGCATATTGTTAGGTTTGGCTTTAAACAAAATAGATCTCAACGTGTTTGTTGTTTTGAATGTTGTTGAAATGTTGAATTTATTTTGTCCAAAACCAAGCCTAACAATGAACAAGGAAGGACAAAGAATTGCATTTATAAAATACCTTGTGAATGCGATCAGTTTTATTTAGGTGAAACATCAAGGCCATTAAATGTTAGAAAAAGTGAACATCAATCTTATGTTAAAAATAGAGAAATTGATAGATCTCAAATATGTAAACAGGCATGGAATAATGAATATAGGGTTCAATAAAATAATTCAAATGTAGTCCTGAAAAAAACGGATAATAAAAAAAGAAAAATCAAAGAAGCGGCTCTAATTATGCTAAATGAGGCCAATTGTGTCGCAAATTCCTCGGCAGAATGTAGTAGGATCTGGTTACCAATATTGAAAAAGAAAATTATTAATAAGAAAATACCAGTATTAGTAAGTCAGTAACATATAGAGGATACAATATTTATGTTTTTTAAATAGCGAAACATATAAAATCAGAATTTTGGTGTTTATTGAAGGTAAACTAAATGCATGAACAAATACTTACCATGTCGGGATAGTATTATGAGGTTTTTTCTCCTGGTTTTTCCCTCATAATTTACTATGGAATCACTAACAGGAGAATTTTACTGTCATCATGTCATGTGTTTGTCTTTTTAAAGACGAATTACATGCTATGATTTTTTTCTGACGGATATTCTCAAGTTAAAGTTGATTTCATGTAATCGAATGAACTATCTTATAAGTAAAGTCGTCCCAGGAGCGCAACTCAACAATATTTGCAATAGCATTTTAAAGTCGTCTACTTTAAAATGCACAATGTATGTCTGAATTGTCAATATAAATGAGTCAGATAAAATTAAATTATTAGAAGGATTTTTCACTATGTAACAAAAGCAAAATTTGATTAATTTACTGTTTGTATTTTTAGAACGATTTCCGAAGTGAAAATTGAAACGTCAATAAACGTATTTTTATCTTTAATTGTGGCTAATTTCCAGTTAAATAGTAATTAATTTTAAATGCCACAAGAAAATAGCTTTAGAACAATATTAAATTTTCTATTTAAAAACAATCTATTTCCAAAAGAAAAATAAAAAAAAATTGATTTTAAAAACTTTTGGTCAAACTAGATTTCTACAACAATTTCATGAGAAATTGAATAATTGGTTTATTAAATTAAAATAAACATAATATATATACGTATATCTTAAATCGCCAATTATCTTGATAGAACGATTAAATTAGTAAAACCAAGATATAAACAGTAAAATAATTGTAATTTATTTATATGGTTTTAAAATGAGATTCAATATTTATAAAATCAGAAATATTCTTAGTTTTTATTTATTTTTCTTTTTAGTAGGTAGTACAATTTCCTCAGAATCATATAACAATTCATCCAAAACATTAATCTCACTATCATATTCTTTTTCTACGTCATCGAGTTCATATTCAGCAGTATGACAATTTTCACATATTCTCTAACTTTTTATTCCGTGCTTACGGCATCCGCAATCTTTGCCACTTGCAGTTTCGGTGCTACGTTGAAAAACGGTAAAATTTATTAGTCATCTTTACCAATAAATAATTATTCTAATTTAAGGAGAATGCTAATACTTGAAAATATAGGTTTTATATAGGTTAAGTAGTGAATAACGCCAGATTCGTTTCTTAATTGTTATTAATAAAGCCTCTGTGATTAAAAAAAAATATGCTAACTCTGCACTTATTGGTTGTAGAAAACTCTTTTTTTTCTTCGTTTTAAAGCCAGCTACAATATTCTGCAAATTTGAAATTTATAGGGTATATAGAGGACGCTCTAAATATTTATATCTGTAATTTTACAACTATTATTTTCCAGTGGAATATGAAAACTTACGGCTTTAGGAAAAGAACGAAACAAGAATTAGCCCTCTACCATTTTTTGGAAATCCTATGAGCATTCAAAGTTGAAGGTCAGGGATAAATTAATTAACATATCTTAGCAACAAATTAAGCGGTCTAGGCCTACTACGGCTCATTCGATTCGTAATTTTATAGGCTTAAATGTAATATATTTGAAAAAAAAAGCAATTTTGTAATACATATTACGTTTTTTAATTTTGACCTTCATTCGTCATTTTTGCAATAACAAAGAAATTAAATTGAACGCTCATAAATAAACAAAAACCAAAAAATTTTCGTTGAATAAACTCGGGGATTGCTCCTGAGGCTGCCCTTTATAGACCAGACCACATTACATAAATTTCTGGATTAGAAAGTACTTTTTCCCCCACAGCCTGGGTTATATAGCTTTTAAATACTTTATAGTAAATATTTGCTATAAAAATGTATATTTTTAGGTTTTATTATCCCTTATTATATATTTTTGTATGTACTTTTATGGATTTTGTGATTCACTACTTCACTGACTGATTTACTGATTTACTAAATTCCTACATTAGAAAGTACTTTTTCCCCCACAGCCTGGGTTATATAGCTTTTAAATACTTTATAATAAATATTTGCTATAAAAATGTATATTTTTAGGTTTTATTTTCCCTTATTACATATTTTTGTATGCACTTTTATGGATTTTGTGATTCACTACTTCACTGACTGATTTACTGATTTACTAAATTCCTGGATTAGAAAGTACTTTTTTCCCCACAGCCTGGGTTATATAGCTTTTAAATACTTTATAATAAATATTTGCTATAAAAATGTATATTTTTAGGTTTTATTTTCCCCTATTATATATTTTTGTATGTACTTTTATGGATTTTGTGATTCACTACTTCACTG